AATTAAGTAGCATTTGGTTTTGTAAGAGGCAGAAGCTTGTGGTCAACTTTTTAATAACAAAGCAGCGAACAGTAAAGATTTAAGAGGTGAGCTGTGCTATGTACTTATTTTTTTTTTTTAAATCATACTTATATTATTAAGAGTGAAGGTAGAAAGGATCAAATAATTTGACAATGGCTTGCTCTTTCTTATAAAAAGGAGAAAGCAGGGACTTTTCTTCTTGTCACAGTGCTCCTGCTGACTTTAAAGATCATTTATTTCCCTACTTGTGAGAAATACTCAACAGCCTTGGTGGTGCTTCCAGCTTTCTGCAGCTAATTGCTGAAGTTTGCCTGTACTCCATGCACTGAGGTAGCCTTCCTGGTTTAAAGATGTCATACTGTGTAGCATGTGTGTATACGATCTGCTCATTATATTAATTTTTTGGAAAGGCCACAATAGCTGCCACTGTGACTAAACCATGTTGATTGCCGATACTGCCAGGAGCCTGTTAAAACATTGGAGAGCTTCCAGGAACCGTTGCTGCTTTCCAGGGGACTAGTCAAGAAGTGACCTTTTAGGTGTGAATTTAAATTTCTGGTTTAGGGAGATGATCAAGGCTGTTGCTGAATACCTTGGCCACTTGCCCATCCCTCCTTGCACTTGGATGTTGCTAGTGCTGGCTGCCACAGTCCTGAGGTGGTTCAGAGGACTGGCGCTGCCTCCTAATTGAGGACAAGCTCAGAGAGGGGATCCCAAGCCAGAAATGAGGCAGGCTGTAACAGATGTCTGGGAGAAGTCCCTGTTATTTCTGCCAGAGGTCTTTCCAAGGCATCGTCTTCCTGTGCCCGTGGTTACACCTGGCCCACCCTGTGCAGGTTCATGGCAGAGTCATTAGACTGTCTGCAAGTGTTATGTTAAAGCTGTGACCATTCAGCAGAGCCTTGTGGGTCATGGTGGGGTGAGGTCCATCTGCAGGCAGGAGAGCTCTCCTGGGTTGCTGGGGCTGCTCGCAGGAAATGTGCTGGCACTGAGACATCTGCTGGTGGAGTGATCAAACCAGCCTGGAGCAACAGATCCGCATCGGCTGGAACCAGTCTGGTCTAAGTGATTGCTGTCCCAGCCTGTACTCAAACTACCTCTGCTGTCTTCCCCTGCTGCAGATTCCGTGACTGACCTATGAAATAGAATTATGGGGCATTGTGGAAAGATGTTTTACTCAGATCTCATTTAGAGAGCATACAAAGAATTGCTCCAGAACAACAGGAGAAAATGTTTCTTGCAGGAAAGGGCAGAGGAAAAGAAGAATTCCTGCAAACAGGCAGGTGAAGAGCAGGCAAGGAGCAGCAATGTGTCATGGGGGACTTAACATGGCTGAAACCTGGTATGCAAGCCGAGCTCTGATCTCGCAGTAAAATGCCGTTTTGCATAGATGGATCATTCCCTGTAAGCGTCCAGTGTAAGCCTTACAGCTGAAACCACTGTGGCTGTTACGAAGTAGGAGAAGTTGGTGTTTGCCAAACTAGGCGTATTGGCATCAGTCTAATCATTTGGAGTACATCATTTGGGTTTGTGAAGCATGGGCTGAAACACATTCTTTGGTGTGTTGCATTAAAGCATCATTCAGATTCTTTTCAGAAATGTACCTCTTGCTCCATCCTGGCTAAGTTTTTGTTTGTTTGTTTGTTTGTTTGTTTGTTTTTTATCTGTTTCCATTTGCTTATATTTGGATTCTCTGTTTTTTTCTCCCAGTGATGTGGGGCACTTTCCTTTTACTGCTCTTGTTTCTTTGTCTGTTTGACAGAGATAAGTGAGTACTGGGGGCAGTGAGCAGGGAAAAGGTCCTTAGCATTTCATCAAATGCATTATGGAAAGGTTCTGGAGTTTGACAGGTACTGAGAATACCTGGGCAGATTTATACTCCTAAGCATGACTGCTTTTCTGCATGCTGACTGTTGCTGTGTGAACCAACGTGTCCTTGGGGCAGGCTGTCAGGGTGGGGAACCCAGCCATGCTTTGGCCAGAGGATGAAGAGGGCTTTCACTATCCTCACAAAATGCCGTCTTGGAAGGACTTGTCTCTGTCCTTGCCCTGAGGCAGGCAGCAGCAGGCCAAGCCAAGCACATGGTCATCTGCAGAAGTGACGGGGATAGGAAGGATCCTGGCTGGCAGCAGTGCTCTGCTTGCTCCCTCCTCTGTGGCTGTTGCCCCAGCCTGACAGCTGGGAGGCCATCTGAGTGTCTCCTCCCGTGTCAGTGTCACCCTGCCTGAGTTAAGCTGGGGCTGGCAGCATCGAGGTGTCAGCCCCTCATCCAGTTGCTGTTGCCCCTTCAGCACGCAGACTGCCCACGTGATTCATCTGCAGATGTGTGTGATGGACCTCCAGGTGCTGGGGGGCTGAAATGACAGGGCTCCTGTGTAAACGTCGCAAAAAAGGAGGTATGACAGATCATGTTTCCAGCAAGAACCTCTTCATAAGCTTAGGACATGGCGTATGGGCTCCCTGTGACTAGGGCTTTCTGGGCAGCAAGCACTGGAAGGCTTTCTACCAAAGCGGCTTTGCTTTGCTGTTAGCAGTAGGGCAGGATGCTCTGCTCTTGTTCTAGACAAGTCTCGCTGGATCTGAGGGCAAGTATAAGGGTTTTACGTGGCTCTTCATGTCGTGAGTTTCTGGAGGGAGGGGGCTTAGGGCACACATCCGTCTTGATGTTTTCTTTTGGTTTAGTAAATTGCTCAGAAACAAGGTGTTTGTGTTAGGAAGAGTGTGGAGATCATTCTGATATTAAAAAAAAAAGGGGGGGAAAATGTATCATCTTAAATGAACATTTGGGAATAAAAACAGTTTAACTGCATTTAAAATTAGTCTGGCTTGAAATGTATGCAGTATTTTATTTATATAGCATACACTGAAGACAATACCATGCATTCACTGCCCTGAGGCAGCTCTCTTCTGCATTTGCAAAACATTAGGTACACCAGTGCTCTGACCTTACCAAACACTAGGCATTCCCAGAATGACAGAAGTGCTTTAATAATGAAAAGGAAGTTACATCTATAAGGAATTATAATTTAAGTGGAACTTCGGCATTTATAGACCTAAGAGTACTTCAAAAATCTTCCCCTTTAATGTCTGTTTCCCACACAACTTTCCTTATGCCTCCTTGTGGCTGTATTCCTGTTGGCATCACAGTGCAGGAGCTGCTTGAGGGAAGAAGCTCTGACTTGGCAAGTGCAAGCAGGGCAGGGTGAGGCATGCTGTGAAAGCTGTTTGGTCTGATGTGTGATGTCTCTTAGCTCCCTGACCTTTGGTTGGAGAACTTTCCAAAAATATGAACGAATGCAGAAAAGGGACAATTATAGCTTTGCTAATACTGACGTTTATTCAGGAGGCTAAATCTCAGCCTGCGGACCCTGTTCTGCTCCTTTCCCTTTTCAAAAGGAGTACAATACAGAAAGCAGCTGTGCTGGTGGCTGGCAGGCCCCCTGCCCCCATGCTTTGTGCCACCTCAGCTCTGACTGGCCTCTTCAGCACAGTTCGCAAGCTGTAAGGTCTCAAAATGCAAGACTGGTGTTTGCAGCTTGCAGAGCATAGGAACAGCTTTTCGTAATTGAGGATTTTAGTCATGCTCAGTATCATGCTGTGAAACAGAGCTAGCTTCAAAATGCAGTTAAGAGATGTACTAACTCATCTTAAGTGCCTTCATTTCAAGTATCTGTGAGAGGAGGAGTGGGGACTGCAGTATGCTGTTGTTCCTGGCCTCTTCTGGGACAGTAGGATTGCTATCTTTTCCACTAATATTGAGCTGGAAAAAAGTGAGTACTTATGCAGGATTTTGTAACCTTTGCAGAATGCATTCGTATGATTAGTCAGTGATTTGATTTTCCAACAGGAAAGGGGAATGCTGACTATTCTTGACAAAAGTGCTTATTAGTAGTACACTGTGAGTATTAGTTAATTGCCCTCATTTGCTTCCCTCCCCCCCCCCTCCCCACAGAAGCTTCCCTTGTAGATCTTATAATTATGTGTCTGGAAATCCTTGCTTTACCCATGAAAGAATATGGGACTTGGACCCCTCTCCCAAAGGAGACTGAAATACAACAGTGCTGCCGCATATGATTTTAGTCTGTGCTAACACAGACCTGTGACTGAATAGATGGGGTTACTGCAGTCTCCTTTTATCTCCTGCTTCAGATGCATGTATTTTAATAGGTTGCCTTATAATAAGTAGTTGCTATCCGAGTTTAGGGGCAGATAGACCGTGGAGAGTATAGAAATGTTATAGTACTGTTACTGATTTTCTTACTGTTGAGCTCTATAATACTAAACAATTTTTATTTATTTATTTTTTACTCAAATTCAGTTTCTCCCATGTAGCAACATGTAGGGAAGTATTTTAATATCCATTTCATTGATGCAGCATACTCTGCTGACTTGCCCAACTGTTACTGAGTGGTACATTTGGGAGTTTGAAAGATTCCAAATTTGTGTTCACCAGACCATGCAATATCTATCTTTAGCCCGTTGCAATGCTAAAATTAAATACATTTTCATCATTTGGCAGGTCTCCCTGGGATTCTCTGAGGCTTTTAATGAGGCCAGTGGCAAATAGTTCTTGGTGTTCTGCAGTTGTAAAAGGTGGTAATGAGTGATGGTGGTGCTACCAGAAAGTGAGTTTGGTTTTACAGTTTGCTGTCTGCTGTAGATCTGGGCCATTCTGCAGACAAAGCTTAGGTGCCTCCATTCTAGAAAAACAAGCACTCTGACATTGCTTTTACCATAGGATCGAGTTTCTTGCAAAATATTTTCAGCTGGTAGTCTGGTGGCTCAGTTTAATTAGCTATAGAAGGATGTTCTGTTGAATTTCTTTTCAACTCTAGCTGCAGTTCTTCATTCTATAAACTTTGGGCACATTTTGAAATGGATCTACCAGATGTTTGTTCTTACTATGTCTTCTACCCCTACATATCCAGAAACTTTGCATTTATTACAATCTTTCTGTCTGTTTTTTCCTTCTCCTCAGTGAGTGACTTGCAAGAAGAGGGTAAAAATGCAATCAATGCACCAATGAATCCAAGCACTGTGGACATGCATCCAGAAGATACTTTCTTAGGTATAGTATTTCTGCTACAGAACTCAACTATGTTATTATTAATGAAGGCTGCCACTATGACTCCATATCCACTTCTTATTTGTTGAATATAGATGGCTAAGTTGAAATTGACAGAATTGAGAATCATTGTATGTCAGACATAGACTAGGAAATAGGAAATAGAGATGCTAAAATGGGATTTAAAGAGCAATGCCACCTATGCAGCTACACTTAAAGTAAGCGTAGAAGAAAATAGTCTTGCTCAAGGAATTGGCAGAGGACTTGAATTTTTCTATGGCCATACTGAAAACATAGAAAATTGGGATTTGCAAAGAATTAGATGGAAAATACTGCTGAGTTTGTCTACTTAAGAGTTGCTTCAGTGTCATTAATCCATTGTCTAGTTGTATCTCAGTCTTTATTTGTCCTTTATTTCGACATCCTTCTTTGGTAAGGAAGTGGTATCTTTCCACATATAGATGCAAAACTGAAGGATCAACTGACAGAAAGTCTGCAGCAGAAGTGTGTGTTGCGGTTCCTATGGAACCATTAAACTGCCTCAACTCAATATAGGTGCTACACTTTTGTTAACAGCTGGATGCCAGGTTCTGACTTTGGTTACTGCTGGCACTTTGCAAGTGATGTTGCAGCACAATGGGACCTGATAACGAACAAATCAACATTTATTTTGTTGAAAACAATAATATGGGAATATGTAAAACGAGGAATACTTTATAGAAAGAAGGCAAGTATTCAAGTTCCAGTTCCCCTCCCTGCCAAGTCCATCAAAGAGCAGCAACATAATGTAATAGCAGTAAGTGTTTAAAGCTTGTTGGAAAAAAATGTATTTTTTTTTCTTTCCTGGACATAACTTCCTTAACCTACAGAATTAATTGAAGCAAGCTGAAGCAAGCTGTCATGGTGGCAAATAATAAAATCAGTTTTGAAGACCTGTCATGCAAAGCCATGACCACTGGTGAACCTTAAGCAAAACTTCATGATGAATTGTATACCCTTACGGGTCTTGTTCAGGATTTCAGTTTGCAGCTTTTTGGATGTGTACTGGGTGTCACTTCCTTATAGCTAGAGTGCCTGACTCATCCCAGGGGGTAATGAGGAAATAAAGGAACAAGGGAGGAAAAAAAAAAGACCAAAAAACAAAACAGCTGAAGAAATCATGTGTCTTCCTAGATTTGTGGAAATTTGTCAAGAGTGTTCAGATAAAAGGGTCTTATTTTTTATTAATATTAAAGGCACTGCAAAATACCAAACCCAAACATCTGGGAAAAGCCTAAGGTAACCCAGTAGGATAGTATAGTTTGCCTTGTAGCTATGATTTGCGAGGGTCATGTTTCCCACCTGAGAGCACTGAGGTCTAGCACTGTATTAGCAAGTCATGGTATGTTGGTCATTGTCAGATTTTAAAGAGTTCCTCTATGAAAAGTAGCAAAGGCCCAATCTGTGGTCATACCCAAGACCCTCCCTTGTCATCGTGTTGGAAGGAATTGGGAAATCAAATGGAATATAGGATTTCAAATTGCCTCTCTAGACTCATCAAAAGATAAATCTACAGGGTCTATAAATTACTGTTTTAGCTGAAAGCATGTGGATCTCCTCATTCGGTTGTGACACTACCACCTGTTCTTGTGTTCCTGTTGTGTAGTAGCCAAGGTTTGCTCTCCACTTGAACAAATCTAACCTTGGTCACAGCTGTCACTTGACTACTTAAGGAGCTAAAATGAAGGTTGCAGGGAGAGAGGTCTACTACTTGAAAGCAAGCAACAGAATTTAAAATACAAGACTTGTTCCAACTGTTTCTTAAATACTGATATACATAACTACATAACTACAAGAGCATGTAAATATTGAATGCGATGCATATATTCACACATGCTATTGGGAAGATAAAAAAAGCTGCCAAAAGCTGTTTGGTTGTTAGCTTTACAGATTTAAAGTTGATTTTTCTACCTATTTTTTAGTATGAAATCATCCATTCTAAAAGTTAATCTTTACATTCCTACCTCTTGTAGTTGAATGGTTGGCCATTGGAGAGCATTTTCCACATCTTGCCATCCCACAGTAACAGAAGAAATAGAAGACTATATACCTGAGAGATGTATTTTATGTCCTTCCAGCACACATAAGCAGAACTGATGTAAATTGGGGTAATTTTCATTTTCTGTGTTACACAGAGATTAAGCAGTTCCTGCACCCAGGGCCACATTTGTGTGTCCCTTGCTACGTGTCAAGTTTTAGGGAAGCACAGACTGTTAGTCTGGGTCTCAGCAGCTGCACTAAGTGCAGTGCCATAAGTTTGCTTTACTTTTCAAGGTAGAGTAGTTTGGAAAATATCCTTATATTTTCAAATACAAATGACATACACATTGAGGAGAAAGAGGAAAGTAATTGGCTGCCCTTTTTGGTTTGTTAGTATTAGTATGCCCTGCAGTATAGAGGATGGTGATTTTTCTGATGTATTCTGCATACACAGAGCAGGATCTGATTTGGAGGAGGTCAGTGGAAACAATTTATTTTAGGAAGTCGTATTATCTTTGTTTGACTATTAAAAAAAATCCCTAATACTTGATCATTGAATATTCTCTTGCCAGGGTGATGACTGGGCACTGTTATTTCTTAATCAGCCGACAGGTCACTTCATGAATAGTAATTGTTGCAGTATTTCAGCAATGTATATATGATCTAACTTGTTTCCCATTTCACTTGGACAGAGGAGAATGAGGAGCGCACTATGATTGATCCTAACTCCAAAGAAGACCCCAAGTTCAAAGAACTGATCAAGGTAGGATATCAGTACTTGGTCTTTTTTCAGATCTTTAACCACTGAGCCAGAGCCATTTACAAGCTGGTTACCATGGATACAATTGAGGAGGAACAACTCATTACTGAAGTACATCTGTGAAAACTGAGGAGACAAACAAGGATGCTGTTGGTAAGGCTAAAAGCAACAATGAGAGAAACAAGAAACCCTGAATGTCAGAGCGCCCATGAAATAGAGCTCCGCTATCCATTTACATCCTTGTGGTTATTAAAGGGAAGATCAATACTTAGCTTTGATCTACTGTAGTCATTGCACATAAACGTAGGTTCTTCCTCTCTACAAAGACATGAAAGGAGCCTTGGAAAGATTTAGAGAATTTTCTGGGAAGGAAAGAGTAGGACTACATGTAAAATGAGCAAGCACATGGTAGGGTAGACTAAGGAGACCTATGATGTTATAGGAAGGTTGGAAATGAGATTCTTCTTCCTTCATACACTGATGTTTTCTTTTTTTAAAAAAAAAAAAAAGTAGAAAAAGGGTAAAGAAGGATGCTCCCATATATTATTAGTTAAAGCCATTAGAATTTTTCAGTTTTCATACTGAATAGCATACTGATCTCCAGAGCATGGATGGAGACCAACAGGTGAGTGAACTGATGGACACCTTAGCTAATAATGCCTACTTTCTGCCCATTGTGTATGTAAAGAATAAGGCATTCAGCAAAACAATGATTTTGAATTTCATGAGAACTTGCTAACTCACAACTTGATAATTCAGTTTCTCAAAAATTATTAAACATGAATTTGTTTTGATTATCTTTTGTGCAATTCCTACTGTTCTTACTTTAACAATGGATAACTCAAGATTTGTGAAAAAGAGCCTACTCTCTTCTAGAACTTCAGTTATGGTTTTTTTCAGTGGCTTCTTGGAACAGAGAATTATATCTACTCTACATTCTGAGCAACAGCACTGCACAGTGACTTTGTTTTGTTTTGTGTGGTTCTGCCTCTCATGATTCTTCTTCCCTGGTTATCGCTGTGTCTGTGTTTATGTGGCAGGGAGGTAGAAAGTCCCTAGTTTACTTGTAGTCTTGGGCAGGGACCAGAGCATCCTGAGTCGGTATTGTTGCTGGAGACACTTGCCCAAGGTGCTGGTGATAATGTGTCCCCAGCTGTGCTGACATGAGGTGTGGCTTCTTCCCTCCTGGCAGTGCTTGTAGTTTCCACCAGCTATGATGGAGGGTTTGATCTTGAAGGACTGCTATTTTGGAGAACCTTTTCTATCTGGTAGGTTGTTGAAATTAGCATAGTGAAAGCTTGGGCAGAAACAGAAGTGCTGGCAATTCTGAACAGATACGATCTCTTCCCCAAAAGTGTTTGTGCTTATGTCATAATTCCCGGTACACTTCCTCTTTATTTTTTTTAATAATTAAAATTATATATATATGTATGTTTTAGAAACAGCAGTTCAGCTGTGGCTAGGTGGGTCTGAAAACTTTGGCTAGTGTTTACCCACTCCAGACAGGGGAGTGAGCTGTGGCACATTCCTGTTAGGATACTGTCATGTCCTCTGTCTACAAGCATACGCTTCGCAGAATGCCTCAGCAAACTGTTCACCTGCTACATCTTTAAAACAAGCCCAATGATCTGTTATTAACAGTGCAATAACATGTTTAGGATTACAAAACCACATCAAATAGGGTTTAGCAAGGAGCTGTGTTCAAATTTCTTTGTTATTCTAATTTACCTGGAATACAGTGTGTTTTTAATTTTTTTGCACATTCTGTCTTTGTTAATACCTAGATCCATTAATTCTTTCAAAATGTACAGTGGTCTTGCACCACGCTTTCAAAGTACACTGTGGTTTCTTTGCTAGTGGAGTGGTAATATTACCATGAATAATTCAGTTGAACCAGATTTGCTGCAGTGAAGAAACCAAATGTACTCTGTGATACAGGAGACTTGATATTGAAATCATAATTGCTTTTAAATTGGAAATGTTGCTTTTGAATTTAATATAAAGTGGTGAGTCTTTCCTGGATGTCACAGTCTAGCAAGGTTATGCTTTTCTTTTTGAAAGGCTGAAAACCTTCAGAAGGAATGAAAATCAAACTTAGAGCAGGACTAGAGATTGTGTCTGAGTGCCTGAAGTGCATTGCAGGACTAGGCTCTGGTTCAGTACACCAGTTTGCACTTGCAGGAAGTGAGGGTACCTTATTACCAATTAAACTGCAGCAGCTGGTGCAGGGAACAGCATGTAACTTCACAATGTTTCCTTGGGATCATCTTCCAAGGAGAGAGATGTGTCCTGCAGAGTGCCTACTTGAAAAATTATGTAATTTAGGTAATTGTTGAACATTTGCATACCTCTCTGCAGTTGAGTTTTTACAAGGATGTAGTTAGAAAAACATTTAACACTATGTTGTTGTGAATCTATAAAGCAAGGAGAGGTTTGAATCATGTTGGCAAAACCTGTTTTATGCCACAGAATGAGGGTAATACAAGCAAATGAGCAATTTATTCCTAATTTTGTGTTCCTCAGTGGTTAATGAAATTTTCTGGCAGCCCCAGTGCTGGATGAGAATTAGCCATGTTAATACTCTACAGCAGCAGCCAGGAGAAGAGACTGTCTGCCCCACAGAACTTGAAATCAAAGATCTCCATGGCCTCGCAAGGAGCAGGGAATTGAATAGATTGAGGTTGTTGTATTTCAAAGTAGTTCTCTCTTTTTCCCTCAAAGAGGGAAATATGTGTCAATAGCAGCAACAGAGCCTGATGCCTCTTCAAATTTGGCAGTATAACATAGTTTCATTGGTGCTCTTTCAACACCAGAGTAAGACATGCCAATGGTTTGCCATCACTGATTTTGAGTGTTTCTGTTCCCGTCAATCACATGCAGTTGGGGTAGATAGAACTCAGTGCAGAAAGGAAGCAGAGATATCTGTTGCTGACACTGATTTAATACCTCTTTGTCTCTGCAAAATGTTGTTTTAATTTCTACTAGCCTAGTGTCATAGGAATTATAAGCATAGTGAATTGTTTCGTGTAAGCTTTTGTGAGCATTTGGAAGCGATTTTGACAGAGCTGCTGGGATTCAAACTGTGTAACACTGTGGTGATGAAGAATCCAAAAGGAAAAAAAAAACAAAAACTCGTTCTTATTAAAGCAAATATAGAGTAAATCCCCTCACTGAAGGCTGCTTTGTTGGGGACGCAAAAATATACTCCTTAAATCCTATTGCTCATATTAAAATCACTAGGAACTAAAATTACACATTAAAGTGTTGTTTGTTATCATCATTGACAGTATTCTAAAAATAGTTAACCACAATTTGTCACTATGAAGTGATATGTTCATATGTGTTTAGATAAGTTCCTTGCATGGCCTTGTTTGCTCTGCATGCAAATGCAGTTTGGGATGTGGCTAGACAGACCCAAAGCTGAAAATTCAGATCAGGAAAAGATGTATTGTTATTTATATGTATAGTATAAATAATTTACTCACAAAATACTCTGTTTCTAGTGTCTGAAATACGTGAGCTTCTTTTACATATCATCCAACATTTGCTAAGTGGCAAGAGAACAACTAAATGAAAGAGTTTGAGTTTTGCATTTGGGCTGTTTTGTGACTGGATCCTGAAGTGTATCCTGTGATGTATCTGGAGCAAACAAGAAGAAACAATGTCTGTGATACTTAGAATCAAGTCTAGTTTGCTATTATGTTATTGCAAATCTGTTTACAGTTCAGTTTCCATTAATACCATATATAATAATACCATAATAAGGGAATATAATTCCCTTAGCTGATCCATGTCACTAATTCTGAAGAGTGTTGGTGGGCTCTTCTAGCTCTCTTTTTAAATGTGTTCAAAACTTAGGAGGCTGATCTTTGTGTGCTTTCCTTGTTGTTCATGGATTTTTCTTTGTGTATGGGATGCAAAGGTAGAAGGAATCTTTTTTATCCCCTTCTGGCTCAGATGTGACTGAGGTAGAAGATCTGAAACATAGTTGTACTTAATAGGCTGTAGGAATTGAATCAGAATCTTAGAAATATACTCACACATTTCTGATCTGACAATTATGCCACCAACATAAGTGGCAGATTCCCTAGGCTTTTCTCATGTATTTTGATAGATACAATATGCTTTTACCATTTGAATCCAAAAGTATACAATTGGAGCTTACAAAAATTGGGTTCTGTTAGTAAATGCCTTACCTTGACCAAAGACAGCAAGTTAAGAGTTGCAAGGTGACTTGGTAAGATCAGAGACTTGGTAAGATCAACTGATGCTGCAACAACCTTTGGCCCTTAAAGCTAAACTTCAATGTCTAAACTTTGCATGGATCAAACACTGCTGCTCTAGGTACTATCTGAAATGTGTAAGCATTCTGAATTTGTAGTAAATAAGTTATTTTCCAAAAAATTACCACCTTTTCAATGTCAACACTTACGGCTTTTTAAAATTCACTATGGTGAAGAGAAAACCAAAATGAAGCTGTTTCTTTTTGGTAAGGTTTCATGTGTGATCAAATGAAATCTTGTTTCCTGTATGCTCTTTCAAAGGCCTGCCTTTAAAAACAAGAAGCCTTCTCTCTGTTTGCAGCTGGCCAGTACTTTGTACTTACTCAACAGTTTCCGGACCTGAGTAAGAATTTCTAATATTAATTTATATGTTCAACCCTGAAGTCACTTAAACCTTTATACTTTTGATTTGTGCTTCCTAATTCTCCCTGGGTCATTAAAATCAGGGCTTCCTTTCTTTGCTGTTTTTGTGACTGGGGTTCCCATTTTCTCATTGTGCCAGATACATTCATGCTGTTTGTCTTGTTATTAATTTTGTTCATTAATCTGTAGAGTGGCTGTGGGGTCCTTATACCCTTGAACTCTGCAGATTAACTCTGAATGTGCCTCGCCACTATGGCAGTAGCAAACCTGCAGAATAAAATACTTCACGGAGCTGGTGAAGTTTGATATAAAAACCCATATCCTGAGGATTAAAAACTAAATAGGCCAGGCAGATGA